GTAAGTTAATCTTTGACTACTGGTGGTACACATGTGTCCACTTCCGTAGTCAAAGTCACTACCATTTTTGGCACTTATTGAGATCGGAGGGCCCGCTTGATGGCGGAATTGTGCACATATAGAAAATTTACAATTCTTACTCCCATCCCAAATCGTCCTAAGTCAGAGCGCGTTACCTGGATAAGGTAATAAGCAGGTCTTATCGCAGGTCACTGTACAGTGTTCACACCTCCCAAAAGGGTAATTTTTGAGTCTCACACTCTTTATACTTGTTGTAATGGTTCTAGTGTTTCCCTCAATTATTGTATCACGTGCAAACATAAGCAAACCGATGACGGATGGGGGCATTTTATCGGCCGCAAGCCAGTCAGAGGACGACGCAGCGTACTACGACTGTGTTGGAGATTCCATCCTCCAGGAATCTGTCAGTTCGGATGGTGCGGAAGTGGTACTCCTATGATGGCGCAGATTTCAGGGAATAAAAACCACGAAAATCCTTTAGAGCAGAAGCAGCCGGTGAACGCAGCTTGCATCACCAGGGGAGGCTTGCAATTCCTTCCAAGTGCGTTCCCAACCGGACATTAGCTTATTCCAGGAATGCAATGTGAAAAATGTGTATTTGGTAAATGGTAATTTAACTGCCAGTTATTTTTCGAAAATGCTCATTCGAGCGGAGATGGTGTGGTGACAGGAGGGGCCACTGCCGCGCGTATGGTCCCTGGATCAAATCCCAGCTCAAACCCAGCGTACGTCAGCCAAATTTCTGTAGATGGTTAGTTGTTGCTAGTAGCGACAGCGTCTTTAGAAAAGTCGTAGTCTAAGGGTTAAGTTGCAACGTTAAGTACGCATGAGTTAAACATTGGCAAAAAATGGTGTAGGAAGTGTGCTGCGCTAGCGAAGAAAACCATGCTCCAAGGAAAACATGAGCGAAGTAACCCTTCCCATCTCTCTTGAAGCCAACTTGAAGTATAGCAGTGGAGTGCATTCTCTGAAAATAATAATGGGTTTGGATAGCAGCCCTTTGTTTTCTTTCCAACGTATTCGGGATTATAGACAAAAGGAATGCGTGATGAAACAAAATGGATCAACCAGCGCGACTTATCGTAAAATCGTAGGACTTAAAAAATATGAAGAACACAGACAGACCTTTTAGCAGCCACTAGAAACGAGGAATCTGAGGCAGGTGTGTTCTGATCCGTCCACATTATTGCAGAAGTCGGCATTCGATAGATGTACTTAGCGGGAATGTACCTGTGCATAGGTTGAAAAACAACCTGCAAAAAAATCATTCTGTTGCTCACAAAACTTCTGTGTACCGAGGGTAATCTCCGCTGTCATGGCGAAATCGCTACGACTGTAACCTTTTCCCAACAATAGACAGTTTCAGAAACTGCCTTAGGAAAGATTACACAGAGAGATATGAAATAAGCTCAAATACGATCATATTTGCCATCAGATAATCATAACATGTCCGGTCATCTGACCCTGATTGAGGTTATCAGCAAACTTTCCATTACAAGTGGATTAAGATGTTATCACTGATATCAAAATTGGCAATATCCAAGTAACATCTTAATCCATATATATCCCAACAAACGGAAATGACGCCTACACCATAGTCCACTATAAATCATATCTATAGCAGTATTGTAAACAGCGCCAAGTTAAAGGCTTGATTCCTTTCCTCTATTAGGCCAAATTTAGAACGAAAAATTACTCGTTAGAAAGCCAATGAAGTCGTATTTCAAAAAAGGATCAACCAATTCACAAGCTTGCTGTTGCTAGTTTCTAGGAGAAGCAGAGTATTATTTAGAATTTCCATATCGAGAAGGTTGTCAAAGTTGCGTAAATCCTAGGCTACAATTCTTTACCGTACACCATGCTTCATTCGGATAGTGTGAGGACACTTGTCTGAATGACCTTGTTACAAGACTTTGCGTGACTAGAAGTAACGTATAAAATGGCTTAAACCACTGTGAACCTACCCACTGGCGTTGTTAACGGCTAATCGGCTTAATGACCAATGGCAAAACTGAGTACGCAAACAATAACCTTTGCACCATGGGAAAACGCTCATCGCCTTATTATGAAGTTCAGTCCTATTAGCAGTGATGCATTTGACGAGATTTGTCAAAATATTTTGGTTTATGGATGAGAAGAGCACGCGCCAATAAGCCCGACAAAGTTACATATCAGAAATTGAAGGACCAGTCATCCTCTTCCAAATGCAATTTCCAGAAAAAGAAGCCCTATTAAAAAATCGTTCGTTTTCTTGCTGATTGTTCGTGACTTTCACTCGATCGAATGATACCAACTTGCTCATCCAAGCTCGCCCGGTGTCCACGGCACCGTCATGATGAGGAATATGCGAAATGGTGTTCGCGCTTCTCCCCTGCCGTTTGTAGACCAGCCTCATGAGATGAAACTGATTTGGACCCTTGTCGAGCTTGCCCCGCGAGTGAATGAAATGACAGCTTCCTGTCAATTCAGTGGAGAGGGCGTCAAAGTTAAAATTACGCACACCGGTCTGAACTCCAAGAGCTCCGCTGATGAAACTTTGAAGAAGCTTCTTACTGTAACTCATTCCCCACAACTGTTCTTGAACTCCTGACCCGTGGCTGTAACTCGATTCTCGAGAGTACTTTCACAAGAATTAGCATAGTCCAAGAGAGAGAGAGAGAGAGTTGGTGATTTTAGAATCATCCCATTAGGCGTTAAAGAAGTCAGAACTATCATACAGTGCCATTGACATTGCGCGCTAGCTTATTGCTGGTCATACAACGTATGACTGTGTGTGCGCTGGCGGCGACCATACGGCATCTCGATTGATGCGCTGTATCTATTACGGATAACAAAGTCCATGAATGCTGGAGTTACAGCTTCTTTGTATTTTAGTCTATGCTGTCGAGCAAGAGCGCCATCCGTGTATTAAGGAAAATAATGGCTGATAGTGAGACTTTCAATGCTCTGAAACTCCAATGGAACAATGGCTCCATAGAGCTCTTGTGTGCGTCACTCTCCGACAGCTCCACCAGTGCAGAGCTCCTTGAGAACATCAGGGCGTGAAAGTGCACTGCAGAACACTGCCTTTCCAAGCCCTCTTGCAGCCCCTTCTCTCTGGATACGACCCCCTCCCCTTTCGTCCGTCCAAGTACGACCCCCCTCCCCTCATTGTTCTTTGCGCCACGGGGGTTGACCCTGCCTCCACCGGCTCAAGCAGCACCCCCAGCGCTTGTGAGATAACTGGGATATGACGTGAATTCTTCCTTGAAGTGGCGGTGGAAAAAACAGGGCACGTTCGCTTGATCTAGAGAAAAGTCGGATTGAACAGCAGACAGATGTGATGGGATCGAATTCAATGTTCCACCTCTGCTTTGCTACATCAGTAGCATGAATGGAAAAGGGAAATCATCAAAACCTTTATTTCAAAAAGTCTTTCTGCAGTTGTGTCCGCCATGCTCTCACAACCAATAGCCGACATAAGGCCTTGAATGGCTTGCCGCACCGTCGTCCTTCGCTCCCTTATCCATTCAACAGTCAATTAATATTGCTCGGTCGGAGGCTGAATTGTTAGGGGTGGGAATACCTAGCATCCGAAAATTCAGTCTCCGATTCCACATGTATGTTAGTTTTGTCTGGGAGTGACGTTATCCCTAGCGTCATCCGCCTACTGGAATCAATATGGATGCTTTTCAACCATCATAAAACCTTAGTACGCTTCTCCTTTTTTGAGGTGCGCATCGACTTTGATTCACTCACTTTTTTACTCATTCACTTTTTTCTTCACACCTAACTGGATGTTCCTACGTTTTTTTCCAAACCATAATTTACCCACATTTGCCTGTAGTTTGGTTAATTTATGTGATCGAATATTTCTTCTTCTCCTGCAAGGCCTAGTCCCTGATGGCGCATATTTCAAAACTACTGGATGATAACGAAATAGTAACTGTCTCTGGGACTAAGCCTTGGAGGAGCAGACGAACAGAGCGCCGCGCAGTCGCGTGGTCTCCCTCCCCCATCTAGGATAGCACCAAAACCACAACAACTCGTTATCAGTTTGCGCGCAACGCTTAAAGGGAGCGAGCACGCTGGCTTCCACGTGGATTTGCTACCCTCGCGTTATCACCGATAAGCTGTGAGACAGCAGGTTGTTGGACGAGCGTAAGCCCATGGAAGATACGATATCATGAGGTAAGGGTGCTAATGGAAAGTGGGTTGGGGGGAACCACGCGGCGGCGCGGCAGTCTGCTCGCCTGGCATGTTTGCGTACTTCGGGAAATCCGTGAGCCAGGGGGAGTGTAGGCAGTCTAGGGGGTGGGGGTGAGGGCAGTCACTTGACATGCGTGAAAAGCTGGAATGTTCGAGTTTACACTATCTCGCTCGAGAGAGCCCAGGTGAGCAGACTGCCGCGCCGCCGCGTGGTCCCTCCCTCAACCCACTTAGCACCATAATTCTTTAGTATTTTGTTGTTCGTTTCACTTCAGGCCTACCAGGCGAATTGGAGGTTCTTTCTCTGCGCTATTGAACTTTTCGTTCTATTCTTAGCAAAATATTAGGTTGGCTAGATTGAAATGTCGCTCTCATTTGCATCGTAGTTTCTGAGCTATAGCACAACCTCTCACAAGGCGGGTGCACTCATTCGAGAGACTGTGTCCAACTGCACTTTACGATGTTGTATCTGCCTGTGAATGTTTGAATTCAAGCCACAATTTTGTTTGATCAGAAACATCGTGTGGACATGTGCATGTGACATAACCCAAAACAATGGAAATTGGGTAAGGAGTTCTATCGTGTTCTGTGCGAAATACTCGACAGTGAGGCGCACTATCCTGCGGCAGTGCCTGCGATGACCGCTGCGTTTTCTAAAAGGAGGCAGAAAGCACAAAGGCGAAATTCATCAGAATTTTCTTGCAATTCTGGCTAATGAAACTTAGAAATGGCATCTAAAAAAGTATTCACGATGTGAAATCCTAAGGGGTTTGGCTACACTGCAGCTACAAACGATAGTCATTTACGAGTGATTGGTAGAGTAAATCGGTGCAAAAACCAAATTTTGCAGCTGCAAAACGACACTTGCCAAGCGGAGTGTGTTGCGAAAATAGCGCAGCAGAAAATCGAGGAGTTAAGCTGGGACGTTCTGCCTTCCGCGCCATTTAGCCCAGATCTGGCACCGTCTATTCAACATTTATTCAGGTCAGCGTTACTCACGGTGTACTTATATCCCTTTGACTAGTGTATTACACAATAATGTGACAGCAGAAGAAACTTAAAAACAGTTGCAAAAAACCTTAAAGCTCTTCAAATCCCGTGAAAGATGTCAAGCAATTGACATGTGTTAACGGCACATCTGCAGAGATTCTATAGAATTTAAACCGGCAGCTCTCGCGGTAGTTGATTTAAAGGTGAATATCTTATCTAATCAGGCCATCGTCTGAGTAGATCAAATAGTCAGCCCCATTGAGCAGGAGCAATCTCTACTGATAGCGTTGCTAAAACTGGCTTGCACTTTTATGGCTGCCATTTGACTTCCCAAAAAACAGAAGATAGGTGCTTCTGCTTTTTTTTTATTGATTAACGTCGGATTGCCATGCTCCCCACTTCCAAGCGTTTTTTAGGCAGTCATACAAAGAGACCCTTATTTATGGTGCTCACAGTAGATAGTGAACTAGTAACATACTTTATATCTGAATCTTTGAGAAAGCGAGCACTCTTTCTTCCGTCCACTGCCTGCAGCACCGGATAAGCTGTAAAGTCTCTTGGTCCATCAATCGACATCTGTCAAAGCCACTTCTAACGAGATTCTGCAGGTTTGCTACCCGTTGCTCTCCCTCCTAGATTCTATGGAAAATATCCCTGAAAGATCAAGGTTAGGGACCAGGGTCAAGCGTGCGTTGAGGAATCCTCGACATGTCACAGAGGGGGGGGGTCGTATTGGCCCGCTGGGGGAAGAGATCGGGCCCGATTGATGCAGTAGGATCATCGTCGGAGGACAAACATCAAGGATCGATGCCAGGCCAGAGGATTTCCAATAACAATGTCATTCCGCCCACATAAAATCTTCGTGATTCAGAGGTGTCCGCTTAGCAATTCTTAGTTACTTGTCCTCTGACGGTGATGATCCTGGTTTTGTCACCATACAAGTTCGAAATAATTCGCACTTTTTCCAAGGATATTTTATCTTTCAAGTGAGTCCTCGAATCTGAAGGGATGTGAAGCACACGGCGCATCCCAGAGTGGGCCCAGTTGGTTGCGCGCGCTTCAACTACGGCTCTCTGGAGAAAGAATCTCAATTCAGGAAAAATCAAGAGGATTCTGAAAGGGTTCGTGTGAAATTACAGGGAGGAGTACACCATTCAACAAGAAACAGCCTTCAGCGTCAAATTCACAAGCATGTAACCTTAAAGTTGAGATACGCTAAACAATTTTACACTTTTTGGAAGAGAAAAGCACGAGGATTTTGAATCTGCTCCTACTTTAGTATGTAATCGCCCCTGAAAGGAGCTATAGTCGTTGAAATAGTGCCAATGTAGCGAAAAAGTACCTTTCGGCGGTACTCGGGCAAAAATCCTCAACGTGGCCATTTTTTAATAGTGAACGTATTTAGCAGTTCTAGTAACCTTTAATAGAGCAAATCTTCTAGTTTATGATGACGTATTAACTTTTCCAGATTGGATGAGTTTGAACGGAGTTATGGCTTTGGAAAGCGTAAAAACTCGCACTCATCAAATTTTCCTCGTTAATTTTGCAAAAATCCTCAACGTGGCCATTTTTTGAGTACTGGACGTATGAAGCTGCTTTAGCAACCGTTTGATAGAGAAAATCTTCTAGTTTTGTATGACATATTAACTTTTCAAATTTGACGAAATGAAGCAAGTTATGGCTTCGGAAAGTGTAAAAACTCGTGCTCATCATGAATTTTCCTCGTTAATTGATCTAAATTTGTTATTTCTTATAATTTTTGTAATTTCAATACTGATTAGAAAGAGCTCTTCACAAAACTCCCAAATCTGCTTTCAGATTGAAAATTCGTCATATTTGAAGAAAGTTATAATCATTTGAATATTTGTTCAAATTTCAATAGTAATAAGCTGCTCCACGGTCAACGCCAAAGTCAGTCAACACACAGCTGGCGAAGGCGGTTACAAGGCTTCTTTCAACTGAAAGGGGGACGTGTAAATTGAGAACCATAATCTGTGTAGTACTAGAATTTGGTAAGTCTTGTGAAGGAAATAAATAAAGAAGAGATGTTGTCATAGTATGCCATTTTTAGTGACTAGTTTGTCGTTTTTGCTCCGTTTCTCGTTTGCTCGTTTGGTAGGACTCATCAATAATGATCATTCTTTGACTTTTTCACTTTTGTACTTTTTTGTGGGCGGTGGGGTAGCAGGGCTTTTTTATGAGCAGTTTTGGGGGAGAATTAAACAAGCTTTTCAACCTTTTCATAGTTCGGCTTTTGAAG